CTGACTGTCACTCCGGGTCCTACAGGCAGCAGCCAGGCTGCTTAGCAACACTCGTGGGCCCTTCATGATTGCATGCTGGGTGCATGTCCTGTCATCTTGAGAGAGGCGGTGGCATGAGCAGCGTCCTGACAGCCTGGTGGGTATCCCTCAGGAAGCACGCAGGAGGCTGGGAGGTTGAGGGAGAGTGGCACGGGGCACGGTCTTCCATGCCACAGGGCTCGGTGGCCAGGCGGCCTGGAGTTTAGGCACCGTGGGTGTTGTCGTGGACCATCCTGACATCACCCCAGGCCCTGCACCTTTCTCACGGAAGCTGTGGAACCGACCCAGGAATCCCTCTGTGTGTCTGCAAGAGTCCTGCACCGTGAGCCACCAGGATCCAGCTGTCACACGCACGTGTTAGACGTGCTTGTGAGGACTTTCTACCCCACGCCCAGGTTGTTTGCATACTCAGGCACCAACTGAACGTGCTTTGCCCAGCCATAATTACATCCTTAAGGAAACAGCCTTTAAATAATTCAGAGTCACAGCTGTGAACACGGCAGGCTCTGTTTGTAGATAAGATTTTCTAAAGGGGAAAAAGTCAAATATTCCCAGGGAGGTTCAGGGTCAGGGTGGGAGAGGGAGAAAGGACAGGCATTCTGCAACAGTGATTTCCCCTCCACAGCAGGCCTGGGGCGAGAGCCACCTGCCCCAAGGGTGTGCACAGCCCAGCCTTCCAGGGCCTCCCTGGTGTCGGGCACGTGGGTCCTAATGGTGTCTGTCCTCTTCGCTGTCCCTGTGGTGGCTTCTTCTGCAGTCCAGGAGCTTGCTCGTTGTCACACTGTCCAGCTGCAGCCACCTGGACCCTGCTCTCTGCAGCTCAGCCCCTCAGGGTGGTCAGAGGTGCTTCCCGACCCAGGACAGAGCCTTGCTGCTCTGCATGTCGGATCCCAATGGGTGAGGGCACATGCCACGCGGCCCCAGCACCGTCACCAGGGCTGGGCTGAACTGGGAACGGTTTTGGAGCCGTGGAGGACACTGGGCCTGTGCCACCTGGTGACAATGACGGGAAGCCAGGGCTCCTGGGGCTTGAGGTCTGGGCAGCTGAGCAGATGGTGGCTCTTGGTTGAGCATTCCTCCCTGAAATGTGTGGCACCCAAGGCTGAACACCAAATCCATTCGGTTTCACGGTGGCCTGGTGCAGGCGTCCGGCAGGTAACCTTCGAGGGTATTTGCGTCAGATGGCGTGTGCTCTGACTGAGACCCCGCACCAAGGTCAGCACGGAATTCTCCGTGTGCGTCTTCCT